CACTGCCTATTTTGTCCTTCCGCCAGCGCAGCACAGCGCAGGCAACAGTACAGGGAACAAGGGAGCTGGAAATGCTGGTCGCGGAGGAGGCAACGTCACCGCTGTGTGCGCGTCAGCACCGCAAGTGTGGAACGGATATGGCTCGAGTGTGTGTGCTTTTGATGTGTATTAACACTGTTAAGCTATGTTACCAGAGTCGCCCGGCCCAGGCCGTCTGGGTGCACAGGTGTAAAGCACATTTTTCCGTTGACTCCAAGCAATTGTACCAAACCATGCACCATACCATCCCAACGCCACAGGAGGACAATACACATCTGAGGGAGACAAAAGTCGAAGGATCAAGTCGAGTCAAAGGACCATCCTCTTCAAAGTAACACAACCAACCTGGGCGCAGGTTCCCCCAGGCCCTAGTTTCAGTCTTGGACCCGTTAGTCAGGAGCTGAAAGTGGTGTTCCTCTTAAACCTTTTTTTTTTTTTTTTTTTTTTTTAATTTAAAAAGAACACCCCTACCGGTGTTAGTGCTGCTGGTAAGAGTCCCTGATAAACTACTACCAGTACTTCCTGGAGTTGTGCCCGTTAACGCGCCATGATTTTAAGAAACGTACAGGCTACTACAGGAACGCCCAAATTCATCCGACTAGAAATGTTTCTACTCTTACGTTTTTCCGCCGTGGATAGCTGGGCCAAGTACTGGTGGTTTTAACCTTTTTTTTTTTTTTTTTTTTTTTTTTCACTTGTGACCTGGGGGAAAACAAGCAAGACTGGCCAGGCACCAAGCAGCGAACCAAAAAGAAAGGAAGCTAAGAAAAGACAAGCAGGACACAGCAAGATCAAAGGCAGGGCGGCCATGCATTAAACGGCAAGCGACAGCAAAGCACAAACGCTCGAGGGCACGGGGAGGGGGGTGGGTGGGCAGACAAGCAGCAGCAAAAGCCACAAAGGCAGAACGGCACGTGGGAGGGGGGTGGGCAGACAAGCAGCACACCGGCAAGGCGAACAGCAAAAGGCAGCACAGCATACGGAGTGGAAGGCATGGAGGAGGCGGGTAGGCAGGCAAACAGCACAAGGCAGCAAATCATACCAAGTGAGTAGAAGGTATGGAGGAGGCAAGTGGGCAGGCCAACAGGACAAGGCAGCGATGGAAACGGCAGCAACCCGAACAACAGCAAGGCAAAAGCAGCAGCCAAGAGAAATACAAGCACGGCCAAAAGACGAAGAATGAAAAAAAGGAAAAAAGAAAAAAAGCTGATGATAATAGGTTGTTTCGCCGGAGTAGCACCAGCTCATCAGGAGGCTGAACCCTCGACAATCTGCGGAATCCCTGTATGGTTTGGGAACTTTGGGTCATGAAACCTTTTGACCAATGTTGAAAGCTGACTGTCCACAAGCAGAACATAGCAAGCAACAACTCAGCATTATTGCCGTCTTGCCCGTCTGCGCGCCTTGCCTTTTCATGCATTCTGCTCGTGTGCTGTGTAGCTTTGCTGGCGTGCCAATGCTGCCTTGCATGTCCCTGTGTAGTTGCCTTGCTGCCTGTCTGCCTTCGCTGTCGTTCTGTGCAGTTAATGTTGGCGCTGTGCAGTTGCGTTGTCCTTTTAACGTCCCGTCATGGACATGGGTGGAACTGCCATAGCTCGATACGCGACCGAGAGGAGAGGAATCGGAGTGAGGGCGTACTCACACTAGCACTATCTTGAACGTATCTGACCGCATTTACTGCTGGATCTAGAGGCATCTGGCCGGAATTCCGTTAAGAAATAAGTAAACAAGTGCTAGTGTGAGTATGCCCTGAGGCCAAAAGGAAAGCTCCTTGAGTGCCACCTTCTTCCCCCGAATAAAATGTATGTATGGTCATTATAGCTGTATTTGGACTGAAAAAGACCCCAGATACAGTTATAATGACCGTGTGTTCTATCAGGGGGAAGAAGGTAGCAGCGATAGGGGATGCTCGGACATGATTAATGACTCGTCACAACCCTCTCACGCTCACGCCCTACTAATACCGATCGGGGTATCAAACGGACTCTATCGCAGTCGGTTGGCACTAAGTGTACCGCAGGCGGTCCATGGGGCTCGAACCCACAACCTCCCGAATGCCACTTGCATGGTGTGCCTGGTGAACTGAGCTACAGTCTTCCGCCGAACAAGACGCACGTGCATTGTATATGTTCGTATACAACGCACGACGTGCGTAATGCTACGGATTTTAGGCGCTAACTTCGGAAAGCCCCCCCCCAAAAAAATCCAGTATATGTTGATACCTTTGCAAGTTTGCATGAATCGAGAAATGGTCGAAAGCGGGGAAAAAAAAAACAAAAAAAAACACAGAGCCCGATACCAGGACTCTCTCTCCACTGCTCACCAAATATTAAAAACGTAAAAAATATTAAAAATTCTGAATTAATCTTTTGCCAGAAAATGGACACATGCATCACCACATTTTTTTGTCTATTGTGCATGTGGAGAGCAGTGGAGCAAGGGCCCAACTGTACGTACCAATAGAAAAGTCGGCCACACTACTTGCTGAGAGTTACATTTGAACAGTCATGCAGTCTTGGATCCCCATCTTGGCGCAGAGAGAGATCTCACAGCACTCTGAATATGAGTGTGGCACTGCAGACGGGCACGCGCGCGCGCGCGCGCCCGAGAGAGACACAGAGAGAGAGAGAGAGAGAGAGAGAGAGAGAGAGAGAGAGAGAGAGAGAGAGAGAGAGATGACATGCAGACAACGAGCAAAATGGGTATATGTGATTCACTCAATTGGGTGCTAAACGTGTGGGGACACGTTCAGACACATCTGTTTGCATGTCGTTTCAACCTGCGGCCAAGGCCCCGCCCTTTCCGATTCAGACTTTTCCAGTTTTCCACCCTGCCGCTACTTTGCCACCGTTTCGACCGCTACCCAGCGCGCGGTCCCACGGGCAGCTACCGGTCCCGCATTTTTCAAAGAAACTGCCACCACCCCCCAAAGTGTCGTGCCTGCACCTGCCTGCATTTTTCGAGCCTTGGAACGACCAACCGAGCCCGAATCAACGACCGGTATAACGAAGGACGACGAAAATGTCTGAGGGGGCAATGTCTCAGGGGGGGAAAACGCACCCCTGACGGGCTGCAAACAAAGTATGGTCCCGTCCCACATGCTGCTGCCCGAAAAAAAGTACACAGCATGACCTACAGGAGGAGCACAGAGCAGAGGTGGGGTGACGGCCAAAGAGGAGGCAGATGGGGCAGCGAGGCAGAGAGGAGGGTCGGAGACAACAGTGCGGCGCAAGGGGGAGGAGGAGGAGCAGGTCGCCGCCACTCACAGAGCCCCGGTGGTCATCGCCTTGTTAATTGGTTATTTGAAGAGGAGGAAGGGAGAAGATGATGAGCTGGAGACGAAGAGAGGGGGAAGACGCTGATTGATTTCAAGCTGTCCTCTTCTTCTTCTTCTTCTTCTTCTTTGTCGTCGTCGTCCTCATCTTCGTCGTCGTCGTCATCTTCTATCCTCTCCATTCTCTTCTGCTCCTTTTTCTCTTTCCGCTTTTTCTTTTGAGTTCAGCAAATCTTGCATTTTTTTTTCTCGCAAAGTTGAGTTCTGCGTTATGCATGAAGTAGGGTCAGCACTGGTGTTTCAGAAACACCCTCCCAGCCAAATGATGTGCACAAGTATGCCCTTCTGAGTACCTGGAAAATGTCCTACACAAACCCCATTAATATTTCAATTACCAAAATGCCCCTGTATTAGTTTCAATTACCAGAAGAATTCCCCGGTGGTAGTTCTTCATTTTCCAGAATGCCACTGTCGATCTGGCTAGACCGTTTTCAAGGTACTTAAAAAAAGAGAATACACTCTGCACAGCATTTGGCTGCGAGGGCTTTTCCGAAACAACCAACTCCGACCAGAGTCGAACATCGTACACCACTGAAAATATTGCCCCTGTCGATATTACCAGGATGCCCCTGTGGATATTACCTGGATGCCCCTGTCGATATGCCTGTACCATTTTCGTGAGAATACTTTAAAACTTAAAAGAGAATACTTCTGCATGGCGCATTTGGCTGAGAAAGCTTTTCTGATATGCCTGACCAGGTTCGGACATCATACACCACTGAAAATATCATATCAGTGATATCACAACTTCATATTACGACATCAATATCTCAGGGAATAACATATCTACATAATAATGATAACAACAACAATTGAGTTCAGCGGCTTTCAGCCAGCCCTTCCATTCCCCATGGTCCCCAATTGTCAGTTGGCAATGAGGACATGACTGTTCCACATCACCGGCACTGGGCAAAAACAATAACGATAGGATGAGGACGGGGCAGAAGAAGAAGAAGGGTAGCAGCTTATGGATCTCATGTTTGCAACAACAACAGCAACCACTGCCACTACGAACGGATCCACAAAAAAGAAAGAAACAAGAAGAAGAAGAAGAAGAAGAAGAAGAAGAAGAAGAAGAAGAAGACACAGAAGAAGAAGAAGAAGCAGGAGAAGCAGGAGAAGGAAAGGAAGGAGAAGAAGGAGAAGGAGAAAAGCAGGAGAAGCAGGAGAAGGAGAAGAGGAGAAGGAGATGAATGATAAGAAAAGAAGGACAGAAAGGAGAATAAGAAGAAGGAGAAGAAGAAGGAGAAAAGCGAAAGAAGGAGAAGGAGAAAAGCAGGAGAAGGAGAAGAAGGAGAAGAAGCAGGAGAAGAGGAAGAAGAAGAAGAAGAAAAATGACAACAGCTGAAGAAAGGAGGAGGATGCCAAGAAGATAGAGAAGAACCCACTTCAATGCCCATCACTCAGGGGAAAGAGCTGATACTGTCTGCTTTCAACACTTTTTCTTTTTTTTTTTTTTTTTTTCCCAATGATCCTTCCGCAGATTCACCTACGGAAACCTTGTTAAGCCTTCTCCTTCCTCTAAATGACAAGGTTCAATGAACTCCACTTCAAAACTTGTTTTCTGATACGCATAGAAATTAAATGAGCGAAAAAAAAAAAAAAGAAAAAAAAAAGAGCACACTGGGAGCCCCGTAAAGCAAGCGAGAACAAATTAAAATCAACACAGAGTTGTGGCTTCTGTTGAACGCGTCCACAACCATAAACAACAATTCGGATTCTCTCTATGTATCGTCAAACAGAGCTGCCGACGGTAAACCGTAGGCAGAGAGTGAGAGGGAGAAGAGGACAACAAACGAGGGAGGGGCTGTGACAAACTGTTTCGTCGGAGTTTCACCGACTCGTCAGGAGGTTCTCTCTCTCTCTCTCTATACATATATATGTGTGTGTACACACAACATGGTGCAGAAAGCCCCTTGCACGTTAAGAGAGAGAGAGAGAGAGAGAGAGAGAGAGAGAGAGAGAGAGAGAGAGAGAGAGAGAGAGAGAGAGAGAGAGAGAAGGCTTTTCCTGTGCAACCCAGCAGCCATTTATGTTCATGCTTCAATCCCTTTTGAAGCTTGCATGTGTGATGGCTGCACGTCTATGCAGACACAGTTCAAGCTTGGGGCAATACCTCCTCGCGGTCCTTGTTCGACATTAGCATAAACCTACTAGAAGCCAGTGTCAATCTTTCAACCTTTGCTATACACAATTTTTCATTTGCCGTCGTCCTTTTAGAAGCGGTTGATTGGTCTCTCCCGCTGATCCGAGTGACAAGCACAACGTATGGCTCACCTCCCTCTCCTCTCTCAGTTCTGAGAACTGCCACTCTAACACGTGACGCACACACAAGAGGCACCTTTCTGTTCTTCCCTCCTTCACGTACCACGCAACATTGTCAGCTGCTTTGACGAATTCGCTGTTCGCTTTTTACCTCTAGCCTTGCCCGACGCAAATCACTCGGTTCCTCGTCATTTTGGGGGTCGTGCAGCTTTCTGAAATGCGTACTGCATTATGCGATGGAGTTTCGATCTGTCGTGAACTCCGTATATCCGTATTGCATGATGCAAAGGTATTCAGCAACCAGAGCCACTGTCGTGCGGCTCGAGATGCTGGAAGTTGGGAAGCAAATGCAGCGAGGAGACAACCCGGTTTCTTGCCTCAACGTTCTTATCAAGCGACGGAATATATATTCCGTAGAGATTTTTCAATGAAGCAATCCATCAATCATGTGCGTACGGATGCCTGAGGAACGCGGGGAAGTCCAAGCTCGTCCGCAGCCTGCAGCATTTTCAATTTCACAGTTCGAATACAACACAAGTGATCAGTCAATGTCGCAACAAAAGTAATGCACGGACATACAAGCATGGCATCTCTCTCTCTCTCTCTCTCTCTCTCTCTCTCTCTCTCTCTCTCTCTCTCTCTCTCTCTCTCTCTCTCTCTCTCTCTCTCACGCACACACGTACAAACACACAGAGTACCTTCATCAAAAAGACACACTTTCTCTCAACACGGGGGCAGTAAGATATACACAGGGCGATCATCACTGAATAGAGTGCACATTCTGACTCTCAAGATGCAACAGCCATGAATAGAGTCCACACAGTACCGTTGTCAATCAAAGTAAGCAGCCTCAAAGTCTAAGAGCAAAACGAGCGAAGAAAAACATACCCCGGAATCAACAAGAAGCAAGAACCAAGTTGCTCCGTGTTGTTGGCTGTACCTACCATCCTATGCACTATTTTGAAGTGTTTTCACATACTATCATATGCTTGGTAATCACAACCAGAGGGCGGGAACAGTTATCAAACCACATACAGAGAAAAACGGAAAACGAAGAGTGTGACAACAGTTCAAACCACACACAAAAAAGGCGATACAAAGAGCTGTGAGAGAGACAAACCGAACCGAACCACCCCGAACCGAATCGCCCC